TAGTCACTTAATTGTCAGTTCCCTTCTTTACTTAAAGCAAAGGCAGAAATCTTCCAGCTTATGAAAGAGATAAAGCATTTCTTTTATTTTGGGGAATAGCATATCAGTCAGGATAGTCTAGATTATGCTTCAGTAACAATCAATCTCAAAATCTCAGTCCCTTACAAAAAAAAAAGCTTACTTTTTGTTTATGTGCAGTTTCCTTGAAGGGGACTTGGATCTCTATTCTTCTTTGCTGTGGGATCCAGGAGGATGGAGCGGCCTCTCTCTGGGACATACTAATCATGGCAGTAGAGGGGGAAAGCTAATGAACTATGAGCTACCTCTTTGACTCAGAGAGACACATAACACTTTGCCCACATTTTATCGGCCAAATCTAGTCAAATGGCAAAGCGTGGTATTGATGTTGGTACAGAGAAGTATAATTCTTTATCCATGTGTGGTTGGTGGAGCTGACTTGTTGAAAGCATGAGCAAAAACCAAGGTCTGAACTAGGATATTGTATGAGAATCAGCCATACACGTGACAGAGCCCTGGTGAATCAAAACCTTGTAGGAAGCCCCTGAATGCCCATTTTTGCTACTTTCCATAGGTGGTGCTGCTGTGCACTCTCTGGTTAATAGCCATTGCACTAAAAGATTAAGTTTGACCTAAAAGTCAAGAAAATTAGTAAGGTAATTAACTTTGGAGGAATGGGTTAACTTCGCCCTTTTTTGGCTAAGTCTTGTAAGTTTCTCCTTCTTCATTCTTTTTCCTGTTATTCTTTTAATGAATTGTTCCATGGCCTCCTTACTTATAATTTAGGAAGCAGGTAAATTCAATGCTTTTTATTTCTCCCAGGGAAATAGAGAACTAGGTTGCTTTTTATTTGTTTGTGGCCCTCCATTGATTTTTTCAATGGGCCAATGGTTCACAGTGGAAAACAACATCACCTCCTTTGACTTAAATCTTTCAGTGATGTATGAAGATGGATACTGAGGAAGAGTCAGTCCTTGATTAGCAATTTGCTTTGGATACGATCTACAATCTGCTGTACAGTAGCCTTCAGTTAAATTTTTATTGTTTCTGTCAGTCAATCAGGAATATTGGGTTTACTTTCCCAAAAGACTCATTTTTTCTTTGGTGCAAAATAGGGCAATGAAAGAAAACCACCGGGGACGGGTGTGTAAGGGAGGAAGGCACCGGAAAGCCAAAGGGCAAGGGGTCATGTCTAGGTTGAGCACTCTCACTCCAGATTGCCTTTCGGATGGTGATGTGTCATCAGCCTTTATTAATGATATCCTCTAGTTCCAGATGTTCCTTGAATCCTAAAGAGGGGCCTGAGTCAGCACCTCCCTACATACCCCTGGGAAAGAGCCCCAACCCATAAGCCAGCCCTTGCAGGTGTCTCATGAGGGCGTCTTACTAAGGGGGAGGAGCTGGCAACCTCTGTATTCTTGGTGAAAACACACAAAAGTGAAAACACACTGAAGCACAAGACCATGAACTCTCGGTGGGATTATTGGAATCAGTGTGGCTTCCTCCCAATCTGGTACTTACTCTGGGGTTTGGGTTGTCCTTCCCATTTCAGAAAATGAGAAGATGAATTCCATAAAGTTCATGCAAGTGTTGAAATACCTTTAGAAGTCAGGGCACACCCGTTGCAGGACATGGGCTAGCATTATTTTGTTCTTTGTTCTTGTTATTCACAATGGTCCCTCTTTGTGTGTTCTAATGCCTAGGGAGTCCCTGACAGGGCTGACCTGTGTCTTGGCAGAAGCTGTCTGAACTGAGTTGTCAGAGCAGCAAAGAAGTCCCTCACTCCCCATGCATGCCACCCGGTGAATGGCCCACAGCCAGAGTTCACTGGCTGAAATATGCTTTGGCCTAAGGTTCCAGTTTTTGTTGAAGTGTCTCTAGGAGGAGTCAAATCTCATTTTATGTGGTGTGTGTGCTTTTTGTGAAAATAGAATGTAGTGCTGTGAAAATTGTAATAACGCTCTGCAAATGTTTGCTGATTTTTCACCTGGGAGTGTGACCTAAGTGGCTAGATCCTCTTCTATAATATAGATTCATCACTGGGAAATAGCTGCTCAAGGTCTACCCTCTAACATTCTCTCTTGTATCTAAGTGTGATCATGTGACACAGTCCTGGCCACTAAAATGTAATTGGAAATTGCACTGGGTCCCCGTGCCAGGGGAGGACTCCAGGTATATGGAGACTAGCAAATATCATCACAAAACCAGCCACCAGGAAAAGAAGCCCAGACACTTCTGACCATTGCATCTTGGGGTCAGAATCGCAAGGAGCACGTGGTGCATTAGCTGCTGGGAAAGACTCAGTGACCATGGGGACTGATGCCCACTACTGAACCTGATCTTGCCCTGATCTTTTCTCTGTGATTAAAGCACCCCATCTAGTGCTTGCCTGGAGGTAAGTGGATGGCAGCAGGAAAAACGGAAGCTGGTTCTATAGCTGATGCCATATGCATCAAAGGAGTTGAAGCTTTTCAAAGAAGGAGGCAAATAATCTGCAAGCCGCAATGCTGAGCAAGGAGGCATCTCCCTGATGCTCAAGTCGGTGGGACACAAGACAGAGGAGGGAGGATAGCCACAGCTTGAGGGGGGTGGTGGAGAAGGAAGACTTAGATCAGGGCAATAATGAAAAGCAAATTAAGATCTGAGAAGGGATGTCCATGCAGGGTCCATCTGGTTTCCTATATTTTTGTCAAGAGAGTAATTTGAATTTGGGGAGTTCTATCCTGGGTGATTTCCATATTAGGAGGTACATCCTCCCCCTCCAAAACACAGAAGGACATTTGGAGTTTAGGGGAGCTGGTGGGCCCCTAAGGAGCACAGACCTACTCGATCTGATTTATGCTTCTCTGGTTAGGTTTCTGTGGAAAAGTTTTGATATTTGCAAAGAAAATTGGAGTGTGCACAATAATTTTCTCCATTAAAAACTGAAAAAAAGTATAGGTTTCATCTACTTCTGTAGGCTGGTTTGGGAATCCAGATATACAATGAAAACAAGGGTGTGTGTGTGTGTGTGTGTGTGTGTGTGTGTGTGTGTTTAGTACACAGTGGGTAGCCAAGGGGTTGGAGTTGCTCTTAAAGGAGGCCAGAGTTTCCTTCTAGGCGCCAATATTTAGTAGCAGTGTAATTTTGTACAAAAAACTAACCTCTTTGAGCTTGTTGTTCTTATCTATAAAATAACATTGATAATCCAACGTACTTTATAAGGTTGTGACGATTCAGTGAAATAATCCATACACAGCATATGACATGGTGTCTGGCATATGGTGAACATATTATTGTTGCTATTTTGCTATTACTTTGAAAGGAATTCTGCATTACAAACATTATGCCAAATAGACCTTGGGCTGTAGCTTTTGTGTTAGCAAGTATGTTTGTATTTAAGAAAAACAGTGTCTTTGTAGTCAGGGGACTGCTGTACCTAATGGGGCCTATCGATTAGAGGGTAGCCCAGGGCTCTGAGAAGCCTCAGCAACCCTATTTATAAATGGACAGTGAGGCACAGAGTCATAAAATGTTCTATGGGAAAACCCATGAAAACTTCAAGTGTTCTATAATACTGATTAAGAATAATTTAAATCATTCATATTTTAGTGGGAAACATCAGTGGCTATGAGTTAATCAATTTCAAATAGATTTTATTTGTGTAAAATCGGCATTTTAGAAGGTGAATTTTTTGCTCACAGTTACGTTTTCCAATGTGGAATTATTGCAATATTAGTAGTAAATGCACTCTGATTGAATCTCTACCATTAATCAAATATTCCCAAATTGAACTCCTCATAATGTCTTATAAGATTAAATAAAAAGACCCAGAGGATACTGGCTGCTTTTCAAGGCCTCAACCAAGGATGAGGAAATGGTGATTCTAGAGGACATTTGCTATTTTTTTTTTTTTTTTTTTGGCTGCCTGGAGTCTGAAACCCCATTTATGTTGGAGTAATCCTCCACCTGATGAGTGGGGGAGGAGGCAGAATCCTTTCACTAGAGAAGGTGCAGGGCAACAAGCTGAAAGGCCGCATGTGTCCCTAGTCTCCCCTGGAGCTAGAGTGGGTGTGTGGCTGAGGTTCAGTCAATCAGACACCCCACCCCAGACTTTGAATTGTTGCTAGTGAAGCACAGAAGGAGGCAGTGGAGAATCCATTCTGGCCGCAGAGATCAAAATGGTGGGAGCAGCTCCAGGTGTAAGGCTGGTAGAGGGGAAGCGCAAGGCGGCTTCAGGGTTCTTTAGCTGTAGCAAAGTCAGCTGCTCTAAGTAGGATGACCATACATCCCATGTTGCCTAGGACAGCCCCAGTTTATGCCTGGGAACCTCCTCATGCTCCCACCAGCAAATATACTAGCCTACTCACAGTTTACCCATTTACTTAACCCTCTTTCCATTTATAGTGGACTGTCTATATGCTTAGTCCAGACCCTTCACATGTGCACTGGATCCCACCCCCTTACCCCAACTCGAAGCTATTGCTTCTTTGATTATGCCCACTTGCTCCAGTAGCATCAAACATTTTCCCTCTGGTGGATCACTCCTGCCCTTTTTGGCTTGTGCTTTCTGCTTTAACATGGAAGGGCCAAAATGATGGCATGTGTGTGTTTGTGTAGGCGAGAGCTATCTATGAATCTTAGTATTAATTCTCCAAGGCCTTAACTGTAAAATCAATTGAAATCAACAGATATTTATTTATAATCTATCAAATGCATATATATTTAGTAAGGAGTAATGAGGCTTTAAAACAATCTAGGTGCTTATCCTAGTCCTAGATTATCAAAAGAAGTTGAGATATAAAAGACTTTTACTTGCTATCTGCATAACTATGTCTATCCCTGCCAGGCTAAGTAACCAATTTTGGATTAAAAAGTATTTAAGTGCTGGCGAGCTGCGGAGGAACGGCTGTTGAGCTGTGCGGGGTTCAGGTCCCCGGCTGGTTGGTGACTCCCGTGCTCTGCTTCTCCCCACTGCGCTGCTGCCTGGTGAAGAAGAAGCCATGGCACTCCGGGTCACCAGGAACACAAAAGTTAATGTGGAAAATAAGGCGAAGATCAGCATGGCAGGCACAAAGCGCATGCCTCTGGCCACGACTGCGGCCTCCAAGCCCGGGCTGAGGCTGAGAACAGCCCTCGGAGACATTGGTAACAAAGTCAGCGAACAACCACAGGCCAAATTGCCTCTGAAAAAGGAAGCAAAAACTTTGGTGCCTGGAAAAGTTATTGCTAAAAAGTTACCTAAACCTCTGGAGAAGGCACCCGAGCCTGTGCCAGAACCTGAGCCAGAACCTGAGCCCGTTAAAGAAGAAAAACTTTTGCCTGAGCCTATTTTGGTTGATACTCCCTCTCCAAGCCCAATGGAAACATCTGGATGTGCCCCTGCAGAAGAATACCCGTGTCAGGCGTTCTCTGATGTAATTCTTGCAGTGAATGATGTGGATGCCCAAGATGGAGCTGATCCAAACCTTTGTAGTGAATATGTGAAAGATATTTATGCTTATCTGAGACAACTTGAGGAAGAGCAAGCCATCAGACCAAAATACCTACTGGGTCGTGAAGTCACTGGAAACATGAGAGCTCTCCTTATTGACTGGCTAGTACAGGTTCAGATGAAGTTCAGGTTACTTCAGGAGACCATGTACATGACTGTTTGCATTATCGATCGGTTCATGCAGAATAATTGTGTGCCTAAGAAGATGCTGCAGCTGGTTGGTGTCACTGCCATGTTTATTGCAAGCAAATATGAAGAAATGTACCCTCCAGAAATTGGTGACTTTGCCTTTGTGACTGACAACACTTACACTAAGCACCAAATCAGACAGATGGGAATGAAGATTCTAAGATCTTTAAATTTTGGTCTGGGCTGCCCTCTACCTCTGCATTTCCTTCGGAGAGCATCTAAGATTGGAGAGGTTGATGTTGAGCAACATACTTTGGCCAAATACCTGATGGAACTAACTATGTTGGACTACGATATGGTGCACTTTCCTCCTTCTCAGATTGCAGCAGGAGCTTTTTGCTTAGCCCTGAAAATTCTTGATAACGGTGAATGGACACCCACTCTACAGCATTATCTATCATACACTGAAGAATCCCTTCTAAGTGTTATGCAACACCTGGCTAAGAATATAGTCATGGTGAATCGTGGGCTTACAAAGCACATGACCGTCAAGAACAAGTATGCCACATCTAAGCACGCAAAGATCAGCACGCTGGCACAGCTACATTCTGCACTAGTTCAAGATTTAGCCAAGGCTGTGGCAAAGGTGTAATTTGTAAACATGAATTGGAGTACTATAATAACTGCAAATAAAATTGGCACCATGTGTCATCTGTACATACTATATGTTACCTTTACTGACTTTTAATAAAGTTTGTGGTCCTTTTTACTTATACCTTAACTCATTTGAATGTTGCTACTTTCCTACTTGAGGATAACCTAAAAGTTGTGTTAAAGGTATGGTGGGGAGTATAAAAAGTGCTTTCAGTTTATTGAGACCCAACTTACATATATAATTGTCATTCGTGTGGTTCTTGTTTTATGTGTTTGGCTTTCGCTTTCTTAATATGGGTTACTTTGGTCATGAAGGCATTTAAAGCCCTTCTGTAGGGCATATGTACAGCCCTGTAAGCCCTGTCGTCTTGGAGAATATGCAGCCTCTTTTGACTTAAAAGCCTGCCACCTCACCTTTAGACACTCCCCTCCCTGTTTTCTGTTTCTTCCTGTGGCTGCTGCCATAATTCCAAGAAGTTTTTATTTCTACCACTATTTCTTAAATTATCAACTTTAGTATCATTTTTTTCACCTGCAGAAATAAGAACTTTGTATTTTAAACATACTTTTTCATTGTTGATCAAATAAAAGTAGATCCTCAAAACAAACAAACAAAAAAAATAGTTAAGTTCCATAAGAACTATCTCTGTCTTTGAATTCGTTTGCGGGTATCATGCGTGAAATGCTAAAAATAAAGGACACAACCTGGGGAGCCAGCCCTATCTGAATGGCTAGGACTTGGGGTTAGAAAAGTCTGGTTCTCCTGGAGAGGTAGAGCTTCTCCTGGCCAGTCCTAAGTGGGGTCAGTGCTAAGCTGTGGGTGGTTTTGATCGAAGGGCTGTGGTCTGGTTAAAATTGTTCTTCACGCTAGGCAGACCTCAGCTTTGTTAGAAGCAGCCATTGGTCCTCCAAAGCGGCTGCAACATTTTACACTCCCACAAGCAAAGTAAGAGGGTTCCACTTATTCCCCCTCCTTGTCAGCACTTACATTGTCAGTCTAGGATTTTAGCCATTCTGATGGATATGGAGCAGTGTCTTAAGTGGTTTTAATTTGCAATCCCCTGGTTAGTGGTAATACTGAGCACCTTTTCATAGGTTTAATGGTCATTTGTATCACTTCTTCTGTGAAATGCCTGCTAAAATCTTTTGCCTACCTTGTATTGAGTTGTTTGTCTTATTATCATTGATTTGGAGGGTCCTTTATATATTCCGGATACAAGTCCTTCACCATGTGTAAGCCAGGAATACTTTTGAATGCAAATAACAGATCTTGGGGGTGTCTGGGTAGCTCAGTCACCCAGTTAAGTGTTTGACTCTTGATCTCAGCTCAGGGTCATGAGTTCAAACCCTGCATTGGGCTCCATGCTGGGCATAGAACCTACTTAAAAAATTAAAATAAATAAAATAATAAAATAAAATATAAAATAAAATAAACAGAATGTGACTTGTGGTGACTCCAGCAATAGCAACATCGATTACCTGGTAGAAGGTCTAGAGTCAGGCAATCTGTGGCTTACTAAGCAGATCTGCCATCCTTAGCAGGTTGGCTCTTCATACCTGTGCTTGCAACATCGTGGTTGCAAGAAGGCTGTCATTGCTGCAGCACTATGCCTGCCCGGAAAGGTAAGGAGCAGAGGGGGCATCCAGGGAGGCAATAAGAAGTGGTCCTTGTATGATGCTCCTCCTTTCAATGGAGATAAAATTACTTCTCAGAAGTGCTCTCAAACACCCTTTTATTTCTATTGTTTTAATTCTTTTAGTTTCTTATTGGCCAGAGTTAGGTATCCTATGTACATACAACAGGGAGGCTGGGAAGATGAGCATTAAGCAATGGGTCACTACCCTACAGCCATGCCTGGATCAGTCAGTCATGGTCGGTGCACTGGGGCTGGGCACACTGCAGGAACACAGGCACTATAAGTCAGAAGAGAGGGATAGCTGCTGGGTAGGCACCTGACGTGTCAATATTAAAACACCCAAAGCTCTATGTTCCTCTCTGCTGTGGTGGGGAGGGTGTCTGGAAAATTCTGAGAGGCCGTGGTAAACTTATGGACAACAAAAATTCAGGAAAAAAAAATAGAAAACCGACTCTTTTTTTTTTATTTAAATGCATAAAACAACAAGAACACAAACTCTCATTAAATACCTGATCTCAGAAAAGCCCTACTGGCTTGAAGACCTGAATCGAGTTGTTAGTTGTGGTCACGTTTTATTGCTGCAACAGGAAGACCGGATTCTTGACTCCATTGTTCAGGAAACAAGGCCTGAGTCTACCCAGTGCTGAGGGCAAGTGGGTGTTAAGGGGCCGTGCCTCTGAGGGGTCTCCTCTGAAAGTTGAGCCTGAGGCAAGGATGTTTTAGGAAGTATATTTGGGAAGTGATCCCAGGAAGGAGTGAGGTGCTGGGGAGAGTGCACTGAAGCGGGGGAGGCAATGCAAACGCAACAATAAACAAACATGGGTCGTTTCTGTGGGCATCTGGGCTTGATTCGCTGGGAGCCTCTGAGGAACTGCATAGAACACATGCAGAATTGTTCTGTACGCGCGGCCCTTGAGCTGATTACTTTGGTGTCCCCATGACTGTGTTATTTATGCAAATGTATGCCCCCCCACCGGTTTCTGAATCAGAATGTCTGGAGGGGAGGGGCCCAGGATATTATATTAACGAGCTCTTCAGGTGACTGTGTACATTCACATTTGAGAACCAGAGGTCTGCTCTCCGGACAGCTCATTTATCCGTCGTCTCACATCCCTAGTGATAAACCCTGAGGAGAAGGGAGCTGGGGGAGATTGGAGGGGGAGACAAACCATGAGAGACTGTGGACTCTGAAAATCAATTTGAGGGTTTTGGAGGGGAGGGGGTGGAGGATGGGTGAGCCTGGTGGTGTGTATTAAGGAGGGCACGTATTGCATGGAGCACTGGGTGTGGTGCATAAACAAGGAATATTCTGGAACACTGAAAAGAAATTAAACAAATAAATAAAAATTGAAAAAAAAAACCAACCTAAGGGGTTAACTCCCTTCTACCTTAAGATTGCTTCTGCACCCAGGCCTCCCTCACCACGGGTCAGACAAGCCCATGGTAGAAAGCAAAAGGTTTTCAGCATAGTGGAGGCAGGATCTGTCCAGGGACATGGACAGCGTGCTAGTTTCCAGCAACAGCTGGAGCAAAGGGGGCCAAAAGATTGTGGCCCAAGAGACATCCGATCCAAGAGAGAATAAGAACAGGCCAGTTTAGATTAGGCTCTTTCAAGACCTGAACTTTATGGAGGAGGCCAGAAAATCACTTTCTAAGGCATTAAGCTCTTTATAAAGGGCCTTAAGCTCCTAGAAGGAAATATACCACATAATTTCATAGGACTTTAGTGTACAGAAAACATTAACAAGACACATGAGAAACAGTAGCTATTTACGCTATAGTATATCCTTGAGGCAGGTGGAGTATTTCTATCTGTTGAAAGTGGCCTCAGTGGTGTCTCCCTATTGGGATCAAGTTAAAGAAAATGGATTTTTCAATTTATTGGGGGAAGAGATTCATCTAAACAGAAGGTATTCATCAGCCTTCCTTCGATTTCTTTGGGAATTTAATTCTGTGTAGATTTCTAATTTCTTTGACCTCAGGAGAACGACTTCTATACCAGCCACTGGTTCCCTTCCAGTTTTCTCCTTTCTCCATGGACCCTACAAATGTCACTGGTGGTCATGATCTGATTTAGATTATTTGAAGACAGGAGAAAAATAGCTTGTCGAGACTAGAATTAATGTGGGCTGGTGGGGCAGGGATGATTAATTGGAGCTTGGAGTCTAGATTCATCCTACAAGTCCTTTGTAAGTGATGTTTGATTCAATACAAGACACCTCAGATTTTGATTCAGAAATACCAATAAGCTGGAGAGGCTGTAAGGTGAGCTGGAAAGATAGAGAGAGAGAACATATCTGTAGGCTTTTTCTGCTATGGGTGGGAGGTACTTTAAAACTCAATTTAAAAAATGATAGCCATTGCAATTTGGAATTTCAGAGTTCATGTGTGTAGAGATTTCCCTGGGGGAAAATGGTCAACTTTTCCCTTATTTTCACTGCTGTAGGGCTTCCATTCCAGTGCACCTCTCCTAAACACCAGGTGTCTCTGGTGATGACACTTGGTGCATTTCTATTGGTGGCTCCTGAAAGAGTCTCCTGTACAGCTCATGGCAGGAGCTGACTTAGGGTCTAATAAGAGTGATAGTGATTTTCCAGCTTCTTTTGAAAGAACAGGTGGAACAAGTAATTCTCCATTGAAGGAAAACTCTTGGATTCATCATCCTAAAATGTACCTTTTCTCATGTTCCCACTCAGTTCTAGAATCTACCTCTCTCATAGAATGGCCCAGATGCCAGCCTAGGCCTCTGTCCTCAGGATCTAGACAAAATGAAATCCAAACTTTGCACATTATAGGGACCCAATAATGCCCATGTTCTTTGAGCTGACACAGAGGATGGGACTGTCACATCAGATTCACACCAATCAGAAGTCTCACCCAGTATTCAGCTGTGTTAATTTGTTTCTAGGATACAGGCAATTAAGAGGTAAGAGAGCTCTGGGGCATCAAGAGTGGTTCCCCAGGTCCTTCCTGGGGAAGGCTGGAGAAGTCTCTCTGGCCCAAAATAGGTAAGGTCTGCAAGTGCGATCTCCATTTTTTCCCTGTAGAGAATGGTACAGATCAAGTGCCAATCTCTAGGGGCCAGACTTCACACCCAGGTTCTGCCTAGTATTGGTGATCCTTAGCTAAGACATCCTGCTAAGGACATTTCAGGGATGAAATCTCTTTCCCAGCTGTTTGTCCTGAGTTTTGAACTTCTCTTTAGGAGGCCCTTAGATCTGCTACTGTGTCCCTTCTCTGGCTGGCCTCCTTGAAGTGGTCAACATGACTTAGAACTATAGTCAGAGATGAGTATCATCCTTTTTGTTCCGTTTATCACAATGGAGTCAAGTCAATTTTCAGATGGACCATTCATTCTCAA